CACATGGATACAATAGATGTCATTTCACACATGTATACACTAGATGTCATTTCACACATGTGTACAGTAGATGTTATTTCACACATGTGTACAGTAGATGTTATTTCACACATGGATACAATAGATGTCATTTCACTTATACATGTAGAACTACAATCTAACTATTCACCTTAAGTGGCTCCACCTTCTCAGCCAATTCCTTGAACTTTTTGTCTACTTTTTCAAAATTGTCAATAGCCTCTTTGTAATTGTTTTTAAGTTTTTCCATGTCTTTCTCAGCTGTTTGTTTCTGCTGTGTGAGTTTGTCCATCTGGTCTTCATAGACACCAACCTCCTCTTCTAATGTTGTCACATCAACTGGAGCTGCTTCCTCATAGTTTCTTAATTCATTAATATCCTACAAAACCAGTTATATCTGAGAATTACACATCTTCTGATTCATTAGCTAACTAGCCATGCATGGCACAGTCCCTGTTAGTTATATAGTTTTGTTTATAATAATATAGTACAAGTACTTGTTCATAATAAGAAATATTGGTCTGGAACAGCATTAATTAAAACAAAATGGCCACCGACTGGTCATTTTGAATCAGATTTTCATACCAAAACAACTGTACATCTATGGCATGATATATAATGAATATATAAAATATAAAATCAGTCAAAGCATGTCAAAGATATGGCACTAGAACCGCATTCATTAAAACAGAATGGCTGCCTGTCGGTCATTTTTAACCCGTTCTGAAAAACAAAATGATGTGCATCAGGAACACATAATGTCTGATGTATTTGGAAACAATTCCATGCATACACGACCAAGAAAGTTCCGGAATGCCAGAAATGCTTGATTTTTGATAATTTTTTAGCACAAAAATGGCCACTATTCGGCCATTTTGACTAGGATCTTCAACCCGATATATCTGTATATCTATGACATGATGTACAATGAATATTTAATATTTTAATAATAATTAAATAATTAATATTTTTTAACATAATCAGTCAAAGCAAGTCACAGATAAGGCACTGGAAGCACATTCATTAAAAAAAAATGGCTGCCAGTCGGCCATTTTGAATCTTATCTGAAAAACAAAATGACATGCATCAAGGTCCCATTATGTCCAATGTATATACCAAGTTTGAGAAATGCTTGATTTTGATGATTTTTCAGTACAAAAATGGCTGCCATTCGACCATTTTGAATCGGATCGTGGAACAAATTGATGTGCATATGTATAATATTATGTATGATGTATGTGTTTGATTGTAATTGGTCCAGGCATGTCTAAGATACAGGTCCGGACGCACGCACGCACACACAGATGCACGGATGCACGGACGCACACACAGATGCACGCACACACACACACACAGACGCATGCATTCACAAAGGTCAAAACAAAAGTCCCTGTTTTCGAACAGGGACTAAAAAAAGCCAGCACCTACAAATGTCAAAGGAACAGTATGTGTTTATGTATGTTCAATATTAAGGTCTGTTACTTACAAACTGTACTTTACAGATCAGTTCTTGAGTTTTCATTCTTTGAGTCTGAGCTTTATTTTTCTGTACAGTATTAGACTTTAAACTGTTAGTAAATTCATTAGATTGTCTTCGTAGTCGTTCATACTCTGCTTGATTCACACTCAGCTCCCTCTGCGTTTCACTGTTTAAGAAATAAATACACCAACTTAATAGATACATATGCTTACATTTACATATTGAAGGTAACAATACAATGAGGTAATCACCTGACATCACTTAAGTCTTGTCATAGGCTAGTATTAAACAAGTACAAAAATGTACTTACAAATCAACTGCTGATTCATCAACAGAAATACAATCCCTTCTTCAAGCATTTTTTTTTGAACAAGTCATTGTTAATGACAGTCCCCATCCAAAATTTTGTGATCTGACTTATCAATTTGATGCTGATGAAGTCATTGAGATTCGATTGAAACCATAAATAGGAGATGGATTTGTAAAAAATTATGATTTAGTGCTTTTACACGAGAATTGGACATTGGGCAGTCATATTGAATCAAATTACAAAAATAATGTTCATGTTGATGTATCTATTGGTATACTGTCTTTGTACAAAAACAGAAATGTTCATTGCATTCATGGGAAAGTAGGCATGGGTATCATGAAAAACAAAATGGCACCAGTCAGACATATTAGTTTAAATCACAGAAAAAATATGACATACAACTATAACCCAATATGTATGATCACCATACCAACTTTGATCCAAATTGGCCTAGTCATCTCTGAGAAACAACTTCGGACATGCAAAATTACGATTTAGCGCTTTTACATGAAAATTGGGCGTCGGCCAGCCATATGGAATTGAATCACAAAAATCATGTCTGTGCAGATGTATCTCTTGGTATACTATCTTTGTACAAAATTTAAACAGAAACGTTCATTGCATTCAAGATAAAGTAGCATGGGTACCATGAAAAACAAGATGGCAGCCAGTCGGCCACATTTGCTCGAATGACGTGCACCTACAACCCAATATGCATGATCATCATACCAACTTTAATCGAAATCGGCACAGTCATCTCAGAGAAACTGCTGCGGACACGTTTAGGTATCAGAAATAGCAAATTTTACATTCAAAATGGCCGCCAGTCAGCCAATTTTGCTCCGATCATAAAGTAACTTGACATGCATATGTAAGACATTATGTTTTGTCTTCATGTAAAGTTTGAATGAAATCCGTCAATGGGTGTCCGAGATGTAGCTCCGGATGTACAGACAAACGGATGGAACGAACCCAAATTAATAGTCCCCGTTTTCGAACTTCGTTCGAACGGGGACTAATAAACTTCCAGTCATCATAAATTATTATGGTGATTGTTATAGCACCAAGTGAGTAACTGTTTTTATCAATTTTGAAATTTCACTACACACACACACTAGGATATCCCTGGGTGCCACAGTGCCTGTATGATGCCCACACACATTTCGCTACACACACACTGGGATATCCCTGGGTGCCACAGTGCCTGTATGATGCCCACACACATTTCGCTACACACACACTGGGATATCCCAGGGTGCCACAGTGTCTGTAGGATGCCCACACACATTTCACTACACACATTGGGATATCCCTGGGTGCCACAGTGCCTGTATGATGCCCACACACATTTCGCTACACACACATTGGGATATCCCTGGGTGCCACAGTGCCTGTATGATGCCCACACACATTTCGCTACACACACATTGGGATATCCCTGGGTGCCACAGTGCCTGTGGGATGCCCACACACATTTCACTACACACTGGGATATCCCTGGGTGCCACAGTGCCTGTATGATGCCCACACACATTTCGCTACACACACACATTGGGATATCCACGGGTGCCACAGTGCCTGTACGATGCCCACACACATTTCACTACATACTGGGATATCCCTGAGTGCCACAGTGCCTGTATGATGCCCACACACATTACACATTTCGCTACACAGACACTGGGATATCCCTGGGTGCCACAGTGCCTGTACGATGCCCACACACATTTCACTACACACCGGGATATCCCTGGGTGCCAGTGCCTGTAGGATGCCCACACACATTTCACTACACACTGGGATATCCATGGGTGCCACAGTGCCTGTATGATGCCCACAAACATTTCACTACACACACACACACACACACACACACACACACTGGGATATCCCTGGGTGCTACAGTGCCAGTATGATGCCCACACTGGGATATCCCTGAGTGCTGCTGTGTCTGTATGATGCCCAGAACACAGTTCACTACACACTGGGATATCCCTGAGTGCTGCTGTGTCTGTATGATGCCCACAAACATTTCACTACACACACACACACACACACACACTGGGATATCCCTGAGTGCTACAGTGCCTGTATGATGCCCACACTGGGATATCCCTGAGTGCTACAGTGCCAGTATGATGCCCACACTGGGATATCCCTGAGTGCTGCTGTGTCTGTATGATGCCCAGAACACAGTTCACTACACACTGGGATATCCCTGAGTGCTGCTGTGTCTGTATGATGCCCACACTGGGATATCCCTGAGTGCTGCTGTGTCTGTATGATGCCCAGAACACAGTTCACTACACACTGGTATATCCCTGAGTGCTGCTGTGTCTGTATGATGCCCAGAACACAGTTCACTACACACTGGGATATCCCTGAGTGCTGCTGTGTCTGTATGATGCCCACACTGGTATATCCCTGAGTGCTGCTGTGTCTGTATGATGCCCACACTGGTATATCCCTGAGTGCTGCTGTGTCTGTATGATGCCCAGAACACAGTTCACTACACACTGGGATATCCCTGAGTGCTGTTGTGTCTGTATGATGCCCAGAACACAGTTCACTACACACTGGGATATCCCTGAGTGCTACTGTGTCTGTATGATGCCCAGAACACAGTTCACTACACACTGGGATATCCCTGAGTGCTGCTGTGTCTGTATGATGCCCAGAACACAGTTCACTACACACTGGGATATCCCTGAGTGCTGGTGTGTCTGTATGATGCCCACACTGGGATATCCCTGGGTGCTGCTGTGTCAGTATGATGCCCACACTGGGATATCCCTGAGTGCTGCTGTGTCTGTATGATGCCCAGAACACAGTTCACTACACACTGGGATATCCCTGAGTGCTGCTGTGTCTGTATGATGCCCAGAACACAGTTCACTACACACTGGGATATCCCTGAGTGCTGCTGTGTCTGTATGATGCCCAGAACACAGTTCACTACACACTGGGATATCCCTGAGTGCTGCTGTGTCTGTATGATGCCCAGAACACAGTTCACTACACACTGGGATATCCCTGAGTGCTGCTGTGTCTGTATGATGCCCAGAACACAGTTCACTACACACTGGGATATCCCTGAGTGCTGCTGTGTCTGTATGATGCCCAGAACACAGTTCACTACACACTGGGATATCCCTGAGTGCTGCTGTGTCTGTATGATGCCCAGAACACAGTT